GAAGTGGATTCTTATGTGGTGGCACACTAACTTCAGCTCCCGTATCTACGAGGAAACGTAGACCACTTGAACGATCGGTTATGTGGAATAGGCGACTAGTGCGAGGAGGGTCACGGAAAGTCATCAAGCTACTGACCAACCGGGGTGTTTAAAGGGGCTTGAAGGAACAAGGCGGTTGACACTTGCGCGCTTGAGGACCGAAAGTTTGGTGATACCAGCACCATGAAGGACGGGCACGAGACAGCGATCGGGATCGTGAACGTCGTCGAGGCTTGTTGATTCCTAGCCCTTGTAGGCGATCGGTCAGATTATCAAACTTGGCCTGTAGTTGCGATATGAAAGCAAGAATCGGGTCGGAATCTATAGAAGTAGTGGGTGCAGGATGAGAGACGGAGTTTACGGGCTACTGGGGTAAGTTTCGTGGATCTTATCCGCCATTTTGGCTAGCTGCTCCAAGCTGTGGTCCTCTTCAAAAGCGCTGATGACGTGGGATATTGAGGGTGGATGTTTGTCGAGCCCTAATTGGCCCAAGATTTCCACCGCTTGCTTACGGCCGCAAGGAGGACTGCGCATGTGGCGAAGCAGTTGTGATGGCGATCCGTCACCAAATCCGACAGTGGTGAATAAATCCCGTAGCATTTTGTTTTCTGACTTCCCTGTCCTACTCATGACGGTCGCTGGAAGGGCGTCATACGGATTTTTTGGGAATATCTTCCAACAGATCTTCCACTTCTGTTGCTACATCACAAGGAAGATGCTGGACAACATAGGAAAATCGAGTGGCTTGGGAAGTGATGCGTCGGGTAATAAAAACGGCCTCCACCTGGTGGAACCATACCCTGGGGTTGCTTGGATTGTAGTCTGGTAAACGTACGCAAGTGGCATTCTCGACCAAATCCGCTGAATCAAAGTGTGTCTCCATAATTACCGGACAAAATAAACAAAATTACGAGGAATTGAAAGGAAAAGCTTTCAAGAAAAATATCTAGAAATACTCGGGATCACCAAATTTGTAGTGGCCTGGCTATCCAATAAGTTAGATTACCAGGAGTGTGTGGCAAAGAAATAAAAATAATAACGCTGGGTTGGGTATACAAAAATAAAGAGGTCAGATGGAACAGACCAGCTAACAATTGGTCTCTTTAATGTATTTCGTCGTTGGCCCCGCTCAGCGAACAAACGATAATCCAATTACGTTGGTCCAGAGGTCCTCTTCTGAACAGTTGCCACATATAATAGATTCCGAAGATGGTCTGAAATGTTTTGATACCAGAGTTAGTACATGAGGCTCGTGAATGGCCGCTGCAAACGCAGGCGAAATCAGAAGAGAGTCGAAGCGCGTGACCACGCTTGTGTTATGTGAAATTGTACAAGTGCGTGTTTTTTGTAGATTTTCTTATTCAAACGAAAAAACGAATATGCGGCTGATGAAATACGTAGTGTTACAATGGAAGCAAAATGAAGGTGCAAAACGCCACAATGTCCTCAGTGCGAGGCTGTATGCTTGCCAGCATGAGGATTCGCATAAATGAATGTCTAATAGTGCTTCGAACTGGGTTCTAGAAAGAACGTGGACAATCGTCGGAGAAAGGTCATTTCACGCACCTACCACCCGAAATGAGACAATTTTTTGCCTAGTGAGCTCGAAAATGTTCTTACCATGTCCCCGCCGTGTGCTTGTTGGGTCAACGGTGAAAAACTTGTTGGCCAGGTTTGTTCACATAGAGCATATGTAAGAATTAAGTCCCACTCGAGGCGACGATACTCCAGGGGAAAGCGGTCAATTATCGCGAGAGAGGTTTCGTAGTCCACTGACTTGAGGCCTGCACCCATTTTCGTGGCGGACATCAAAGATCCCGGCCTCCGATACTCCTGTACTTTTAGCTTTTTCCACCAAGTACAGTTCCAGGTTGCAAGAGCACGCAGGCTCAGCCCTTAAATACAGCGCTCCTGCCACCTTCCGGACACAATGGTAGCAATCTTTAAGCTATGCGTGCGACCAATCGTCGAATTCTGTCGCGCATCCCCTCCCTTTACACCAAAGTTCCAGACTCGCAATTGAAAGTGTCCAACGCTCATTTACGAAAAACCTCTTTCCTCGATCAAACCTCCTCTCTTACTGCTCCCGCTGTCAAATCCTAGGCCTCGAACTACTGCGGCTTAGACGGTTAAAATTGAATCTAGCTCTCTTACACCGTCTGCTGCATAAGAACGCTTTTGTAGCAAAGGTTAGACCAAGTATAAACTCACAACCTCGCTATAGACTCCGTAACTCCCGCAACCTCTTAGTTTGTCCCCCAGCTCGTACAAATCTACGCCACTACTTCTTTCTAGTTTATAACGCTCGCATCTGGAACAGCCTTCCTGAACAACTTCGAAACACCACGCATTAACTTACTTTTTCTCAAATTCCTTACCTACGGTACTGGCCACTGGCTATTCGCACAATGAGTTTGATTTCTCGAAATTTACGGCATTTTCAGACTTACCACCTCATAGTGTTGAATGTCTATATATGATGTATATGCTCCCTTATTATTGAAAATCATTTACTATGGCGATTTGTTTAAGTGAACGAAATCTCCAGGTGAATAAACACCGCCGACTTTGAATACATT